ATGGTGTACACGTTTAACCACTGGCTAAATATGGCGCTCGTTATCCATGCCTTTTTGTTTGCCTTGTAGATCACAGGAAGGTGATCCTTAGAGTAACCTTTCAGGGCCTGTGGGTTAGCAGCGTGAGAAATCAACATCAGCTTCAGCTTAAAGTCACCAGCAGCGTTCGCGCCAAGCAGCAGCATCAAGCGGTCTTTTGCCACTTTAAACATGGCGCTCTTTTCTCCTCCTTGGAGATATAGGTCCTTCCAGGCATCCTCTTCCAAAAAAGACCAGTCTCATCCACTTTGAAGATTTGTTTCATCGAGTAGCCTCCTTCCTGGATAATCCATTTGAATTCTGGTGGGAATGTCTCGGCAGCAACTGTATCTGAACTGGCAGCTTCATCAGTCATCTTAATATTGTGGAAGTTATAACGATGTTTAAATCGTTGAAACCAGCCTCGGCTGGCCTTAAGGTCTCTTCCTTCGATCCTTCACCCTCTGTTTCCTTCACGTCGTCAAATAAGGATCTGGCCTTATGCTGGATAACCATAAGGCTCACAGGCACATTGCATTGATTCTGGTCCTCCATCCACATAGCTGGCATCTTTTCCACCTTTTGTATCACAGTGCTTCTAGTAATGAAGTTGTTTTAGTTGCACTCAGAGTAGTATTACTTCCAGCACAAACCTTAATCTTGTCAGAGTTGGTCCGGATTTTCAGAGCAAGGGTAATGACAGTACGCTTACCTCTTCACTACACTAGCATCAGTAGCACTTGATGGACACTTGAAGCTATTTTGATTGGTTATAGTATAGTTTTAGAGCAAAACACTTAAGCACACACGAATGATGTGAAGTAATAACAGAGACTGGCTTAGGATGCTGTGACGCTCCTGGCGAGGAGAGGGCAGTGTGCCGAGCCAAGAGAGATGTGAGCGCTACAGACAAGAGCAGGTGATGCACCATAGAAAGTAGTTCGGACGACGCAAAACGATCGAGTATCTGATCCCGGACATTTAACAAATTTTGGGTCTCTAAAGTATCACAGAAAATTCTAAACAACGTTATACGAGGATGCACTGTACTTTCATTCCAGAAGCTTCCCTGTGGTCGAGCGTGCGGTGTAACTTGCAAATAGTCACGCTGGAACCTGATGACCCTTGCTGGGCATTCAAACAACCTATAAAAGGCGCGTTCCAAAACGTCAAACGGGGTGCCCTAGATGATTGTTCCGGAATATCGACCGGGGCTTAGGAGTTAAAAATAGAAAAGAAAAAGATTATATTAATCTACACCACGAAGATGCAGGAACACCAGCCTTAAAGTGAGACAATGTATGAGTGTGGAAACACAGAAGAAGGCAGAGCATTCCACAGTTTGGCTGTGTGTGGAAAGAAGGATGTACTATAACGGGTTATTCCAGTGTGACCGACAGCCACAGAGAGAAACGGTGGGCACCATGGGCAAGACGCCGAGATGAGCCATGGCGCCAAAGGATGCCAAATCCACCGAACACTCAAAGTACCTGTAAGGAAGGCAACATTATGCAAAGAGAAAGGGAAGAAAGATTATCAACTAAAGGAGGAGAGTATTAAGACGTAAATGCCCATCTAACAGTTGGACAGACGAAGAGCCACTAGATATGAGAGCAGTACTCCAAGTTAGGACGAATGAACTTTATATACTTGAAGCAACTGCTCGGGAGTGAAGTAGCTACGGCATCTGTACAGAATTCTCAGCCGAGGCAGCTTTAGCAATGTTGAGGATGTGTGACTTCCATGACATTTGAGGAAATGGTGAGGCTTAGCATATCTATTTTAGAATTTGGGAAAATGCTTGTGGCCTGAAATGTGATTGGTAGGAAATCATCTAATTTGGAAAGTGTAATTGGTAAATACTGAGTTTTATTACTTTTGAATTTAACCAAGTTTTTACCTCCCAATTCGGAGATGCTGCACATATCCTACATTGATAGATGAAATGATATCAGCACTAGAAATGGATCTAGTTTGAGAATTAGGGGGAAGGAAGAAATGTGAAGAAGAGTGGAGAGTAGAATCATCAGCATAAGAATGGATAGAATTAGTCGTAGTTTGCGGCACTATTTTGAGATTCCAGGTCTGATCTGCCCTGGACATTGTTGTATGGATGAGAACCTAATGTTGATAGCATATAGTATTGAAGAGGTTGTGGTAAATTTAAGGAATGGAAAGATGAAATGGAGTCGAGGGATATGAGAGTGCATATAAACAATGGTAATGATTATTGGTGGCATTGTTCAAGGACATGTGGTTGAAAGTAGAAAATGGTCATGTGCTATTAGAAAGAAGGTTGTTTGCAACAACTCAGCAATGTGCAGCGAGGCATTGAATATGGAAGGTGTGTACACAAGAGTGGTGTAAATGGTAGACTGCAGGATGTTGCACACTTGAAGTGTGCTGTGTGTGCAGGTGATCATGAACCCTTAGTAAGGTTGGAAAATTTCAACATCTTATATATCCTGGGACTGTGTCAAGGAATTTTGCTACCTGGATGACATGTTCAGTGCTGGAAGTGGTGCTATTACCTTAGTTGTAATAGTCAGAAGTATGGAAGAAGTTTAGGGCGGTGTAGCATTAACTTACAACAAGAGGATCTTCTCTTCTTGTAGAAAGATGTACAGCATGCAACCAGTATGAGAAGTGTGATGTTGTCTGGTCATAAACAAGGGCAATGAAAGGTGATGACATACCTACACTTGAGTGAGCTGATATGAGAATTTTGAGATGGATGCCTTTTGCTGAAGTGTTTTTGCTTTAATGTTGCTAAATATAATGAGAAATTTTTCTGGTCATATACAATATATTAAACTAATGAAATAATGCAACTAAAGACTATTATTTATACATCAAAAGAATAAGGTGCAGGAAACATAACTTTATAAAGAAGACAAAATGTGAAAAGAAGCCAGGGCTTAAATGTCAGTGCAGGATCTTTATAAAATAATAATAATAATAATAATAATAATAATAATAATAATAATAATAATAATATAATAATAATAATAATAATACAGGTTGCCTCTCTAGTCGGCATTCGCTGGTTCGAACTCCGTGGTCCGAACAATTTTAGTTTGCCCAATAGGTAGATAGGCAGCTATTATTATTATTTTATTTATTATTTATATATTTTTTCTTATCTGGTTATTTATTATTATTACGAAATGTTTTGCTACCAGGCCCCAATGTGGTCGTTATTTATGCCCGGTGGTATAATTCGTAAAACAACAACAACAACAAAGCGCGGAAATTAAGGTTTGTTTACATCCGCAGTTGGCTTCTCAATCTCTGTGTTTGTCTATACAGAGTACAACATTTTAACTCTTCAATATATATGAGCAGTAAATAAGTTGTGCTTTCATTATTCTTATGTAGAATAATAATGATATGTTTTCGATGTCACTCACTTAGTCTGTATGATCTCCTTTTGTTTTACCATTAATGGTTAACTACTTCCATTGTTCCATTTAGTAACATTAAATAACATTACTTAAACAACCGTATTAATTGTTTGCATTAATTTTACTGGCTACAATAAGGTTTTATTTTATTCAGTTTTATATGTGAAGACCAGTCAGTCACTGGTTTTGTAATCAACGAAAACAATGCTGTCTCATTTCTTCGTGTTTTAATATTCTACATTATTATTAATGAATTATATTGCTCATTTTGCACACATAAACATTAATTCAATCAAAAGGCATTCAGTAATAAACTAATAGATCTTTATACATAAGAAATGATCGTTGCCGCGTCGTCTGAATGTTGACAGCCGTTCAAACCTTGGAAATTCTAGTTTGACGTCAAAATTTTAATTGTGTAGTGTTTTTTGTCAAATAAAAGCGTTGGATAAAACTTCGAAAATTTGAAGCTACTGTCGACATTTAGCCCTTCAATATGTCTTCAAAGACCGCCAGATGAAAGTGGTGCTAGTGCTTCCAGTGGATACAAGTCACTATCTATCCAGGAAAAGGTGAATTCCATGGTCCTGCACGGTCAGGTCCCAAGGTTGCATAGAGAGGTACAACCTGTAATAATTATGTTTTATTGAAAGAGCATGGCGGCGAAGGGCGAAAATACTCTGATTACATAATTAGGGGTTGGTCTCTTGATTTACAAATAATATACAAGTAACATAAAGTGATAAAAATATGATATATAATAACTAGTTGGGGGGAGCTCAAACTACAGGGCATTTCAACATTGTGACAGTGCAAAAAGTAAGATTGACTGGGAGTGGATACACTGGTTGATTACAAGTTATTGATAATTTTTACAATGATTTAGAGCTGGGCTGTTTTTACTTCGATCGGTTGTACTCGTATGGGCTGGATGCAGTTGTGAGTGTCGGTCAGCAATTCTAGGCAGCCGGATCTCAGGTGGTAGTGGGAGCTGGTGTGAGGATAGCGAAGTTTCTCACCAAATTTGCAGATGAGGTCATGGCGATGGTCAGAGAGAGCCGAAAGGGTCAGTGTGTTGAGCGCTTCTTGATATGTGGAGTGTGCGAGGGAAAGCACTGTACAGTACAGGTACTGTATATAAAGCAATTTGTGGATTAATTCCAGTCATTAGTCAGAGTCCTGGGAACCATCAGTTTCACTATGTAAATGTCTGATTTAGAGATTTTACAAGTAATGCAATCATTATCATCCTTTTTTAATTTTTTTGGTGAAACTTGAAAGTTTTACAAGCAATGAAAGTTTGCTAAATATGAAGATGTTTGAAAACCAAGTGAGAATTATAAAGATGTGTGATAAACCAATTCAGAATATGAAGATGTCTGATAAACCAAGAGAGAATGTGAAGATGTTTGATAAACCAAGAAAGAATGTGAAGACGTTTGATAAACCAAGAGATTATGTGAAGAAATTATTGTTTGTACAGGATCTGAGTAAAACTTAACATCAGTATTAGTGTTAAGCATGATACTGAAACTTTAATTGCATTAGATAATCATTTTGACATTTTGCTTATAACAGGTCATGTGACACTAACATTCTGCCTATGCTGGGAAAGAGGTTGTCAAGGGACCAGATATTGTATCAATGCTTGGCATCAGGTTATGTCAGAATCTTCAGAGCTGCTGGATCTGCCTCTCCTCTCTGTTGATACAGTTGTTTGCCAGAATAACTGCTCAGGTAATTGAAATTAAATAAATAGTACATTAATTATTTGTAGAACATAGAATATTTACATTCTTGTCTTTGGGTTTTAATTAAATGGCAATATTTTTTTTATAGTGTTATCTGGAGAAGAAAAAATTACTCATGTTTGCATTCCAGGTCACGAAGGAGTGCATTCAAGCAACTAGAGAGTGTCGTTTGCACCTGGTGGATGGAGTCCTTCATCCGACGTCACATGAAGATGGGATGGAAATTGTATTATGTGGTAGATTGAAATGTTGTTATTTTAAGAAGATGTCAAATAAATTAATATGCTGTCTCCTTCATAATGCAGTTTAGGTTAACAGAACTTTTTTCAAGCCTAAGATTTATACATATTCATCACTTTATTATGCAAATTCCTTCTCATATAATTGTCATTATTCACTCATTTAAGCTTTAATCATACTGTACTGTATTTTTATTTTGTATTTAATGTTCAGCTAATACAGTATCTCTTGTACTGTACTTCATGGATTTGCCATTATTCCAAAATGCAGTATTTTTCACAGGCTGTATAAATTTAGCCAGTCTCCCTCTCTCCCTCACCTCACCCTCCCTCTTTCTCCCACCCTCCCTTTTCTCCCTCCCTCTTTCTCCCTCTACCCTGTCTCTATCTTCCTTCCTCCCTCCCCTGCCTCTACCCCATTCCTCCCTGCCTCTATCCCCCTTCCTTTCTCCCTCTACCCCATTCCTCCCCTCCACCCACCTATCTCACCACCCACTTCTGCCACCCACCTACCCCACCACCCACCTACCCCAACCAACCAACCCCACCAACCACCCAACCCACCCAACCAACCCAGTCCCAACCAACCCACCCCAACCAACCCAACCCCACCAACCAACCCAACCCCAACCAACCAGCCCACCCACCAACCAACCCCACCAACCCAACCCACCCAACCAACCCAACCCATCCCAACCAACCCAACCCAACCGTACCCAACCCAACCCCAACCAACCAACCCAACCACCAACCCACCCACCCAACCAACCCACCCACCACCACCAACCCAACCCCACCAACCCACCCCACCAACCCACCCAACCAACCCACCCAACCCACCAACCCAACCCTCCACCCACCCACCCTGCACCCAACCCACCAACCAACCCACTCCACCAACCACCCAACCCAACTCCACCCAACCCCACCTCACCCACCAACCCACCCAACCCAATCCACCCATCCCAACCACCCACCCACCCCACCACCACCCACCCATCAACCCAACCCACCCCAACCAACTTCACCCACCCCAACTAACCCAACCTGTTTTCACCTCCAATCTCAACCCACCCAACCCAATCCCAACCCTCCAACCCAACCCAACCACCCACCCAACCCCAACTCCAACCCAACCAACCCAACCCAACCCACCCACCCAACCCACCAACCACCCACCCACCCAACCCCACCACCCACCCACCCCACCAACCCACCCACCCCACCAACCACCCACCCACCACACCCACCCACCCCACCACCCACCCACCCCACCACTCACCTACTCCACCACACCCACCCACCCCACCTCCACCCACCACCTCCACCCACCCCACCTCCACCTCCACCCACCTCCACACACTCCACCACCAACCCAACCCAACCAACCAACCCAACCCAACCAACCACCAACCACCCAACCCAACCAACCCAACCCAACCCAACCCAACCACCTACACCAACCCAACCAACCCACCCAACCCAACCAACCCACCCACCCAACCCCAACCAACCCACCCACCCCACCCACCCAACCCACCCTCCACCCACCCCACCACCCACCCACCCCACCACCACCCACTCCACCACCCACCCACCCCACCACCACCCACTCCACCACCCACCTGCACCCCACCCCACCCACACCCCCCCACCCAACCCAACCCCACCACCCAACCCATCGACCCAACCCACCCCACACCCATCCCACCCAACCCAACCCACACCTCCACCCACCCACCAACCAACCCAACCCTCCATCCACCCACCACCCACCCACCCCACCACCCACCCACCCCCACCACCCACCCACCCCACCACCCACCCAAATCCCCACCACCCACCCACCCGACCACACCCACCCACTCCACCACCCACCCACCCCACCTCCACTCCACCCCACCTCCACCACCCCACCTCCACCTAACCCAACCAACCAACCCATCCAACCAACCCCAACCACCAACCCAACCCAACCAACCCCAACCCACCCAACCCAACCCCACTAACCAACCACCCCACCCACCTCCACCCACCCAACCCACCCAACCCCAACCCTCCAACCCCAACCAACCCACCCACCCACCAACCCAACCCACCCAACCACCCACCCACCCCACCACCCCACCCACCCACCACCCACCCACTCCCCACCTCCACCACCCCACCACCCACCCACACTCCCCACCACCCAATCTACCCCACCACCCACCCACTCAACCAACCAACCCCATCCAACCCAACCAACCCAACCCAACCCAACCCAACCCCAACCCCAACCAACCCAACCCAACCCCAACCAACCCATCCCAACCAACCAACCCAACCAAACCAACCAACCCAACCCACCCAACCAACCCAACCCAACCCCACCAACCCACCCACCAACCCACCCAACCCAACCAACCAACCCAACCCCACCAACCCAACCCACCACCCACCCCAACCCCACCAACCCAAACCCACCACCACCCACCCCACCACCCACCCACCCCACCAACCCAACCCAACCAACCCAACCCCAACCAACCCATCCCCACCCCAACCAACCCCACCCAACCCACCAACCAACCCAACCCAACCTCCACCATCCCAACCAACCCAACCAACCAACCCAACCCACCCCACCCACCCCACCCACCCAACCCACCCACCCACCCCACCCACCCACCCCACCTTCCACCCACCCCACCTCCACCCACCCCACCACCACCCACTCCACCACCCACCCACTCCACCACCCAATCCACCCACCTCCACCCACCCACCACCCACCTAACTACCCAACCACCACCCACCCCACCAACCAACCAACCCAACCCACCCCACCCACCCCAACCTCCACCCACCCCACCAACCAGCAATCCACCAACCACCCACCCCACCAACCCAACCCACCAACCAACCCACCCCACCAACCCACCCACCCACACACCCACCCCACCTCCACCCACCCCACCACCCACCTACCCCACCACCCACCCAATCACCACCCACCTGCCACCACACCCATCCCCACCTCCACCCACCCCACCTTCCATCCACCCCACCTCCACCACCCCAACCAACCCAACCAACCAACCCAACCCAACCCCAACCCAACCCCAACCAACCAACCAACCACCAACCCACTCCCACCAACCAACCCATCCCAACCAACCCAACCCACCACCCCATCTAACCCATCACCACCCCAACCCAACTCCACCAACCCCAACCCCATCCCCACCCACCCCCACCAACTAACCCCACCACCAATCCACCCATCCCCACCACCCCACCTAACCCATCAACCACCCAACCCACCACCCACTAATTCACCAACCCAATCTACCCAACTAACCCACCCCACCCACCCACCACCAACCCAATCACCAATCCACCCACCCCACCAACCACCAACCAACTCAACCAACCCACACCCACCAACCACCCACCCCAACCAACCAACCCAACCCAACTCCACCCACAACCCACCCAACCCCAACCCACCAACCAACCCAACCCCAACCAACCATCCCACCCCAACCCATCCCACCACCACCCCACCCCAACCCACCCCACCCACCCACCCACCACCCACCCACTTCCACCAACCCCACCCACTCCACCACCACCCACCCCACCCCACCCACCCACCCCACCACCCACCCACCCCACCACCACCCACTCCACCACCCAACTCCACCCCACCACCCACCCACCCACCCCCACCCACTCCACCACCCACCCAATCTCCACCCACCCCACCAACCACCATCTCCACCCCAACCTCCACCACCCACCCAACCCACCCCACCACCACCCACTCCACCACCCACCCACCCCAATCCACCCACCCACCCCACCCACCCCACCCACCCACCCCACCCACCCCACCACCCCACCCACCCCAACCCACCCACCCCCACCCCACCCACCAATCCCCACCCCACCCACCCCACCCACCCCACCCACCCCACCCACCCCACCCACCCACCTCCACCCACCCACCCACCCCCACCCACCCACCCCACCCACCCCACCACCCCACCCCACCCCACCCACCCAATTTCCGACCCACCTCCCACCCACCACCCCCACCCACCCACCCACCCACCCCCACCCACCTCTAACCACCTGCTCCAACCCACACCCCCACCCAACCCACTCCACACCCCACCCCTCCACCCCCACCCCCACCCCACTCCACCCACCCACCTGTTCACCAACCCAATCCCAACCCCCCCAACAACCCACTCCCACTCCTCCCTCCCTCTCCTCCCCTCATCCTTCCTCCTCCTCCCCACCTTTCTACCCTCCACTCCCCATCTCCTCCTTTCCACCTCCCTTGCACTCCTCCCTCCTTCCCTCCTCCTCATCCCTCAATTCCCCTCTCTCCTTCACTTCATCTCCTGTCCTCCTCCTTCCTCTCCCTCACCCTCCTCCCCTACTCACCCTCCTCCTCCCTCACCCATCCTTCTCCTCCTCCCTCACCTCCTCCTCCTCCTCCCTCCCTCCCTCCCCTCCTTCCTCTCACTCTCCCCTCCCTCCTCCTTCCTCCCCTCCCCTCTTCCCCTCCTCCTCCCCCTCATACTCCCTAATTTCTCCTCTTCCCTTCTTAACTCTCTCCTCTCACTTCACCTCCTTCATTCTCCTTTTCCTACTTCCTCCCCTATTCCTCCCTTCCTTCCCCTTCCCTCCTCCCTAACCTCCCCCTCCTTCCTTCATCTCCTTCCCAGCTTTTACCTCCCCACTCTCCTCCATC